CTCCCTGATCTGCAGGACAGGTGCTTATGCTAGAATAAATCAGTGCTGCTCTGAGCTCTGCGAGAATTGAAAAGAAGAGTTCTCCGCTTTGGTCGCATTGGCAAAGGTGTGCCAAGACTAACACAGGGCCCAGAAGCACTCTCGTCAGGATCAACCCAGTTGTGCATTTTATTTTATTTTATTGGACTGTGACTCCTGCCTGATAGCATTAGCACTGTGCAAGAGAGAAGCTATGCTGCTGCTGCTGCCCCTGCGTCTCCAGGCCAGGGGAGTGCTTGACCCCCTTCTGCTGCCTGGGGGTCAGAGGGGGAAGGTGTGCTCCCCTCTGTTTCTTCTTTCAAGTTCATTTGTCAAGACAGTGTGTTGCTGATTTGTATGTTAATATACTACTCCCCTGCAGCTGTGGCTTGGAATATTTGTGTAGTGTGGCTGACGCTGGTGGCCATTGCTTAAGGGAGCAAGCATATTTTTATTGTAAATTTTTTTGCCATCACCTGTGTTGTTTCCTCTTCCTGCCCTTTCCCTGTCCCTTTCCCTTCTTTTCCTAATTAAATAGGCTTGGTTTGGAAATTAATACAATTCATGAAATCCCTGTGGAATACATGTTCCCTTTCTCCCCCCTTTGATAAAACACTGGGAGTGTGCACTGTTCATGTGTTTGAAAGCTGAGCACCTGTAAGAGCGTGAAGAATTAGGGCTGTGCTGATGGTTCTTGGGTGGGGCTGTGCTTTTTCCCTTGTGCTGAAGGAGTAGCAGCAGATGCTCCCTGCACGCGTTTGTGGCACCTACCTGTAACCACTCCTGAGCATACCAGCCTCTTCTTTCAAGCCTCTGAGAACTGACACATTGTTTCCTCTTTAGGCAGCAAAGAGTTGTTTCTTCCTTCTCTGATTTCAGTTGGAGGAGACTGTGCATCCTCCCTGACCAGACCTTACAATTGACAGGCAGTGCGAGTAGGGCCAGTGCCAGGAAGAAGTCAAGGAAATGGAGTTAGTGGTCCCCCTTGTGAGAGGCAATGCCCCACAGTGGGCAGGGTGCATGTGTTTGGCCTCTGCGCAGGAAAAGCTGGTGTTAACTCACAGGGTGTGCAGGCACCACTGACAGAAGAAAGGGCTTGGGGCACTGGACTGAAATAAAGTGTGTGGTATGTGCAAGACCTACTTGTGCATGCTCTTGGATTACGTTCTTCTGCGTTGTGGGCCTGTTCAAGGCAACCACTGGTGCAACTGGGGTGACTGTGGAAGTTTTGTGTGGCTATGAATCCAGCAGATGCAGGAAAGCGGTGTCTCTTGTCACTCTGGCAGGGGAGGTGCTGGCCTTCATTTAAGAGCGGTGTCCCCTCATTAAAAAAAGACTGCCCTAAGGCTAAATGCAAAATGCATTTTCTCCCAGTTTCTGACTGAAGCTGGAGCTCTTCTGTGTCCAAACTGGTAAAAAAATCAACTAAAGTGAAGGTACCTGCATCTACAGAAGGAGCTTCAGTTGCTGCATGCTGAGCCCTGCCTCCTTCACCTCATCCCATCCCCTTCCTTCAGCTGTTCGTTGTCAATGCAAATCTGTTAAGTTTTGCCATGAGCTTGGGGACAAAATTGAGACATAAAAGAATCTGTATCTTCTGGAAGTCTTGAACCTAGCGTAGCTTTCCTTGGAGCTCTCTGGCTTCTTGCTGCTCTTAATGTCCCTCTGCCCTGGAGGAGGAGGGTCATGGAGAAAAGGAACATGATGCAGAGACCAAGCCAAGGGGTTAACCGCTGCAGGAGGCCATCTGCAGTGGGTCCCATGGAGCATGTCATGTGTGCAAGGTGGGCTGACAGAGCCTACAAAATTCAGAGGGATGATGCTGCTTGCGCAAAGACCTGTGGGACAGATCATGGAGAAAACCTATGCGGAAAGCTTTGAGTAGCCATGCCATAGTAGCAGAACGGGTGATCTTATCACAGCCTTCCAGTACTTAAAGGGGGCCTACAGGAAAGCTGGAGAGGGACTTTTTACAAGGGCGTGTAGTGATAGGACAAGGGGCAATGGCTTTAAACTGAAAGAGGGCAGATTTAGATTAGATATAAGGAAGAAATTTTTCACTCAGAGGGTGGCGAGGCACTGGAACAGGTTGCCCAGAGAAGTTGTGGATGCCCCATCCCTGGAAGTGTTCAAGGCCAGGTTGGATGAGGCTTTGGGCAACCTGGTGTAGTGGAGGGGTTCCTTGCCCATGATGGGGGTTGGAACTAGATGATCTTTGAGGTCCCTTCCAACCCAAATCATTCTATGATTCTAAGTGTGAGATTGATCCCTGAGTTCCTTTTGAAAGCAAACAACATTTAGAAACAGGATTTTTCTGGTCCTGGTATTTAGTATCAAGATTAGGTGCCTATAGGAAAAAGGGGTGCATGAGAGTAGAAGCAACAGTGTCTGCAGAAGATAAATTTGCTTCTAGGTAGGACATGGACTCAGAAGTCCCTTAAACTTGGCTATGTCCCTCAGGAGTAGGGAGATAAAGAAGAAAAGAATGAGAAGTGCTAACTCTGGTTTCCATTAGAAGTTGTTCCCAGAGGATGACTGTTTCCCAGCTGTGCCATAGAGAAACTTGAAGTCATTCCAGTGCTGCTTCCGCCTGTCTTGTGCAACCATCTCACCCTAAAAGCATGCTGTTGTCAGAAGTATTTTTAATTTGAACTTCATTAGTCCAGTAAAGCAGCAGTGATGAAGAGCTCTGTGTGGAGAAGTTTTGGGGGGGCATCTGAGAGCAATGAATCCCTATAGTGGTGGTAATGATACCGGGTTCCTTCCAGGTAAAGGTGAAACATTTGAAACGTTGAGTGGCTGTAGAACCCCCTTGCAGAAAGGGATCTGGGGGTGCTGGCCGACAGCAGGCTCAACGTGAGCCAGCAGCGTGCCCTGGCAGCCCCGAGGGCAAACCATGTCCTGGGGTGCACCAAACACAGCATAACCAGCCGGTCCAAAGAGGTGATTGTCCCTCTGCATTCAGCATTGGTGCAGCCTCATCTCGAGTACCATGTGCAGTTCTGGGCCCTGCAATTTCAGAAGGCTGTGAAGGTCCTTGAGCGCATCCAGAGGAGGACAGCAAAGCTGGTGACAAGGCTGGAAGGCATGTCCTATGAGAAGTGTGAAGGACTTTGGGCTTATCTAGTTTGGAGAAAAGGAGGCTGAGGGGTGACTTCATTGCTCCCTACAGCTTCCTGAGGAGGGAAAGCGGAGAGGGAGGTGCTGGTCTCTTTTCCCTTGTGTCCAGTGACAGGATGCATGGGAATGGTCCATAGCTGTGCCAGGGGAGGTTTAGTGTGGACATTAGGAAGCAGTTCTTCACCGACAGGGTGGTCAAACACCGGAACAAGCTTCCTAGGTGGGCCTTTGATGCCCCGAGCATGTCAGTGCTTAAGAGGCATTTGGACAATGCCCTTAATAACACACTTCAGTGTTTTGTCAGCCGTGAAGTGGTCAGGCAGTTGGACTAGGTGATGGTGATGGGTCCCTTCCAACTGGAATAGTCTAGTCTAGTGTATATTTTCTTTAATGGAAAGCAACAATATCTGACCTGGCAGAGGTGGGCAAAACCCCACCAAGTGGAAGTTCAAGTGTGCTGCCCTCATGTCCTGTGCCTCACCAGAGGGAGCAAAGACTGGCTGCCTCCCTGCAGCTTGGGTAGATGCCAGAGCTGGTGAGATCATTGCTGGGTAAATGGACAAAATAAAAGCCTGAGGGGAGGCTGGGAAAAGGGCAGGGCATAGGGGATGCCAGTGGGCTGGAGGTGCCTTGGGGCAGGGACACAGCACTGCCAGAGTGGGAACAGCCTGGTGGGCACGAGGGCCCACGTTCACCTGGCCGTCGCCCAAGGTCCTGCCCACGTTCCCAAGCAAAGCCCTGCTTTCCTCCTGCTGCCAGCGGAGCCATGGGGTTTCTGCTGGCTCTCCCCAGCCCAGTGCCAGCTCACTCCCCTTGGAGATCACGGCAGCGCTTGGGGCCAGGCAGAGGGGATGGGGCTGTGCTGAAGAGACAGCACCGCTCAGCATTAGCGCTGCTGGCCCTGGGCCAGAAGCAGGGACCCTCAGGAACCAGTGAGTGGGACACAACTCTCTCGGCTGCAGACATTTCTCAGTGCCCATCAGACCACCTCCCTGCATCCCGATGCTGCTATGTCACCTCATGAAGCATCCTAATGGGTACAATTGCCAGTCGGTGCCTGAGCTTTACCTGCCATGGGGGTGCCTGTGGAGCATCATCACCCATCCCTGAACACGACGTCGGCCAGCTCAGCGAGGCTCTGCAGGCACTTTCCTCCTCCCAGCTGCGGTGCAGCCCACCAGGGAGCCGAGCCTGAGCTGGGGGCTTCCTCGTGTTGTATGTAGGGAGAAAGGCTGCAGGGGACCAGGAGCAAGTGGAGGGCAGTGGCAGAGACCCCAGGTTGATAGTAAATGCAAACACCTGCCTCTCAGCTGCTTCATTATAGGGTCATTCCTCAGCTTACCCCAAACTTGGCACTAGATGTGTGGAGGGGTCAGCCAGCCAAAAACCCAAAACAGGTCTCAGTGATTCAGTGCTGGCAGCAAGCTCTCTAGGGTGACTCCTGTCAGTCCTGGGCAGCTTCATCCCCTCTACATCTACATTTCCAATGGTCCTCCCTGCATGGCAGAGTGGAAGTGAGCATCAGAACCAGTGCCTTCAAGCTGCTCATTGCATCGGTGCAGTCGGGTGGTCCCCCTGTGCCCCAGGAGCAATCAGTGCCTCTGGGAGTCTGCAGGGACAGGATGGAGGTGATGCTGGCTTGAGGCAGCGGCCAGGGAGGCTTTGGCCATCCAGCAGTGGGGAGGCTCCCAGACCCCAGCTGGTGTGTCCAGGGTGGTACTGGTGTGGGACAGACTGGTTCTGGCAACAGATTGGTTGCTGAATAGGGGAAGGGCTTGAGGGTGAGAGAGACATTAGTATCAAATCTTCCAGATTTTTGTTGGACTGTGGATCTGCTTGTGTTCCCTGGGAGCGTGAAACATACAGCCAAAAAAGAGAAATGACAGAGTTGAGGAGGAAAACAAAGGCCTCTGTGGCCTCCTGCAAGCAAATGATGTTTCACACAGGCACTGCCACCCCTGGCCTCTTCAAAACAAGCAAAGAAGAAAAATCAGGAGTAGTCGGGCTGTAAATGTGGCACGGTCCTGCAGCCCAGTTTGCCGGCTGCCTCTTTCCTTTTGCTCAGGCTTCCTGCTGTGCCCTGCAAGTCCGTAACGTCTTCGACATAAGCAACCAGGAAAGAAAAGGCAAAGCCCGGGAAACAGTGAGTGCAAATCCCACACGGGGTTCTGGCTGGGCTGGTGCTGTGACACACCAGGCTTTTTGGTTCCCCAGCGCCAGCGCTTTCAGCCCCTGCGAAGCGAGAGGCAGGCGATGTCTGGATTGCTGCCCTCTCTCCAGGGGTGTTCTACCCTTCCTCCCCCGCCTCCTCCTGCATTTCTTGCTCCGTCCGGTGAGCGCTGCTGGGAAAGTAAGTGACACAACGGGGCCCATTCAGCTCTGGCTTCTGCCAGGAGAGCAAATACCAGCGCAGGAGCTCAGCAGCTGCTGGACGGCACGGAGGGACACATACGCTTCCCCCTGTTTTTTTCCACCTCTTGAGGAGAAGGTACCCCCAGCCCCCAGGTGTGTGACTCCCTCGAGGTGTGTGTGTGGGGGGTGGCAGGATGGTGCCTTGTATGTGGTGATGCCCAGGTGCAGGACGGGGGCTGAGCTGGGGCCATTGGGTGGGTGGAACTTGCCAGTGCCTGTGCAGGTGGCAAGAGGGCAGAGTGGGGGCACAGGACCACAGTGGGTGAGGGGATGGGCACTGTGGTAGCTCCACGGGTTTGAGCCTTGCAGACCCCATTGCTGCTGCTCTCCAGAGCTTAGGGGGAGGCAGGGGGTGGGGCAGCTGTGCTGGTTCTAACTGCAGCCCCACTGCCCGCTCGGTGCTCACCCCAGCCTTGGCTCTTCTTCAGCACCTCCACCACAGGGGCTCGCTCCTGCCTGGCCAAAACCAACCCGTCCTTTCTGCAGCTAAACAGTGGAGATCCTTATTCCAAAAACTGCTATGAATAGCTGGAATGCATGGGGACGCACAGAGCTGGGAGGCAGGACTGGGGGGGTGGACAGGATGTCGGAGATGGACAATTACGAGAAAGGTGGCAGCTCAGAAAGCTGGTGTGATCACACCTCGATAGCTGTACCTGCTTGCCTTAGGAAAAATGAGCCTCAGTTGTGGAAAGAATATTGATACCTTGTACAGATCAAGAGAGTTTTATGTGAACAAGTGATATACGAAGAAAAAAGGGGGGGAAGTCTGCTCCAAGCCAGTTCCCCACGAGTGATCCAATGCTCCTGAACTTCAATTTTTCTCACTAAATATTTAATTTCTCCTTCTTCCACTTTGTTCCTCATTTGTCACCTGTAAAATCACAGTGCTAGAGTGAGAGATGGCGAGACCTGCCCCACTAGGTCACAGCAATGGCCCCCATGGCACCTGGTGCCAGTAGGCGATGCTCTTTGGGGACGCACAGGAGTCTGGCTCCTCTCCTGGCCTCACTGCCATCTCTCCCCAGCCACAGGTGCCCTCCACCATGAGAATGTCCCAGGGGGTCCTCCTGCTCGCGGCAGCCCTGGAGTTGGCAAGGACAGTTGCTGCCCGCTGCCCCACCCCCTGTGTCTGCGACAACCTCCGTGCCCATGTCCTCTGCCTCAATAGGAGCCTGACCGCCATCCCCGGTGCTATCCCACAGGTGGGCAAGAGGATGAGCAGGGGATGGGGGAGGAGGTGGGGATGGCAGTCCTGGGGTAACTGTCTATTTTCACATGACCAACAGCTCACCAAAAACCTGGACCTCCAGGGCAACAGCTTCACAGTCATCCCAGTAGGAGCCTTCCTCACTACTCCGTACCTCACACAGTTGGACCTGCAGCACTGCAAGGTGGAGAAACTGGAAGAAGGGGCTTTCCGAGGGCTGGGGAGGCTAGTTTACCTCAACCTGGCCTCCAACAGCATAGCCTTCCTCTACCAGGAGTCCCTGGATGGGCTCTCCTCCCTCCAGCAGCTCATCCTGGAGGGGAATCGCATCGAGGAGATCCAGCCAGGCGCTTTTAGCCACCTGGGGTCCCTCGCTGTTCTCGATCTGAGGGCAAATGCCTTGGTCTATCTCCCGGACATGGTCTTCCAGGGTCTGCAGGCCCTCAGGTGGCTCCGGCTGTCCCACAACGCCCTCCATGTGCTGGGCAGCGAGGCCTTTGCCGCTCTGCCTGCCCTGCGCAGGCTGAGCCTGGACCACAACGAGCTGCAGGCGCTGCCTGGTGAAGCCCTGGCCAGGCTGGACGGGGCCACCCGGCTGGACCTGGGCCACAACCCCATCACCTACTTGGCTGAGGAAGCCTTGGCCATGTCCTCCCTGAAACACCTCTTCCTGGACCACGCTGCCCTCCAGGACGTCGCGCCTGACGCCTTCGCCCACAGCCCCCAGCTGCGCACGCTGGACCTCCGCGAAAACCAGCTGCGGGGAGCCGGCGGGGGGGGCCCCCGCCCCTGGCCGGGGCTGGGGGGCTGGTGAGGGTCAGCCTGGCCGGGAACCCTCTGCTCTGCTCCTGCCTCCTGCGCCCCTTCCACGACTGGCTGGCAAGGGCACGGGTGCAGGTGGATGGGACCTGTGCTGCACCCCTTGCCCTCCGTGGCCGGCCCCTTGACTCCCTGAGGC